GAGACCCGGCAGCTGACCAAGCACCATGGAGATGCCGTATCTGCAGTCAACAGGCGGCAAGCATGACAACAACAGAGCTGATGACTATACTTGACAAACAGAAGCTCGACAATATCGTCATAAGTTCCATGATCAGTCTACTGATGAGAGTAAGAGCTCTGGAGGCAGAGATGCAAGAGATCAAAAACATGAGGACAGACAGAAATCAGATCTCCTCAGATGAGACAGCCACACCAGAGAGAGAACGGAGAACTATACCGAACAAATCCGTTCTCATCGTAGGTGACAAAAGTATCATGAGGATCAGAAACAAGATACTTGACAAGCTACCGAAAAAGAGCCCAGTCGTGATTAGATGGACAGCCAAGAAGGACGCGAAATCGATATTCGAGCTGGCAGACAAATTTCTTCAGAACAACCCGCAACCGACGCACATAGTGGTCCATGGCGGACACGAAGAATGCATCGAGTTCAAGAAGGAAGAATACATGGCGCAGATATCCACCTTCGCTCGGAAGCTAAAGGAGACACGAGAGGACAACTCGTTTTCATTGGTCACGATACCTCAGTTCCACAAAGACTGCAAGGAAGCCAACGACTACATGAGGGCACAGCAGGAGCAGTGGAAATGTGACATCATCGATATGACTCAAGCACATCGGGCAATGGTTGCCAAAGGATTCTGCTCGTATGCCGGAATGGAGGAAACCGCTGAAGCCTGCGCCAAATCAGTGGCTCGTCGAGCGGCGACCTTCTTGGGAATCAAGATCAACCCTCCGAAGCCACAGAGAAGCCCAGAGAGAAGTGGCGTACCTTTGGAGCGCAGTGCGAAAACCAGTCAAGCAGCTAGTCGGCCACCGCGACCAAGAACGGCAGCGGTCGAACGGCGAACGGAAGACGCACGGCAAAAACCTTCTTCACGAAACGATGTTAAGAGGGGAAACAACGAGAGAGGACCCTACGGACGAATCCCCCAATACAGGTCGCCGAGGAAAGAGGAATGGCAACAAGTCTACCAACCCCCTCAGAGAGGAAACCTGAAAGAGATGATTTGGAATTTTCTCAAGGCATACGAGGCAGCAGGGAACACAAGAAGCCCAAGGACCAGAAGATCCTGAAGAGTGCACGCGTGCCCACAGCAGTGCCGTCAACCTCCTCGGCGCTGCTGTGGAATTGTGAGGGGTTGAAAGGGGCCCTCGCGAAACTAGAAGACGAAAGTAAACTCACGAGGTACAATTACCTGCTTCTGACCGAGACATTCCTCATAGAAGAGCTGAACCTTGAAGAACACGTCGGATACCACGCGCTAGCGAAACCACCGGTCCAAGGCGGAAGACCAGTCGGAGGAATTTCAATATTCATCAAGAAGAGCCTCCCACAATTTGAGATCGTTGAAAGAGAGGAGGACTACATAACGATCAAGAACGCGACCGAGCAGATCGCACTGTTCTACATTCCGCCACAACGCAGTACGATGGAACTCATAGACATCGTGAACGGCGCCCTATCGAAGCTAGAAGCGTCTAAACCGACCATCGCGGCTGGGGACTTCAATGCGAGAGTCGACCCGAGAGCGATGGACAATAAAGGTATCCATCTACTCGACACAATGGATGCCCGAGGGCTGCGTATGCTCAACGACCCAAACGAGTCGACGTATCTGTGCAAAAATGGAAGCAGTACGATTGACCTGTACTTCACCAACAACAGCATGGGTATCACGTCCGTCAGGGTGGGAGACATTCCGATAAGGAAACACCTTCCGGTAGAGATGACGTTTCAAAGACGAGAAACCTCTAAGGAACTACTCACCGACCCGGCCAAGAAATATGCAAGGAGAGTCCATCTACCGACACTCGAGAATGAGGAGCAGAAGAAGACCGTCGGCGAAGCTATACGCAACCTCAGTCTCGACCAAGCCGAACAGGCACTCACGAACTATGTAACAACATCACTACGAGAGCAAAAACCGAAGAAGAATGTGAAGAGGTGGTTTTCGCACGAATGCAGCCAACTCCTGAATGAGGTGAAGCACTGCCTCAAAAGAGTACGTCAAGGAACGCCCAACGCGAGACCAGAATATATTCAGAAACGGAGACAATACCACGCAGAGATAAAGCGCAGCAAAGAGCGGTGCACCGAAGAGGATGAAACCAGACTAGTCACCAGGGCTGAGGAGCAACCGTTCCAATACATTCGAAGAAACGCGAATAGACACAGCTGCAACGCGAAGCCCGAAGAAATCAAGCGCCACTTCGAGAAACTCTTCAATGACCCGACTGCG